GACTCGGTAGGACCAAGGCTACGTTTTTCTCCTTCAATGAGGTTTGTTTCTGCATGCTCCAACCTAGCCGTCAACGCGTCTAATCAGCTTGGGTTATCATCTCCTTCATAATAGCATTCGTATTTCTGGTAGCCTCCTTCTCCTCTTGTATTTTGGGTAAGGCCTCTTTGGCTTCTTCCTCTCTCCTGTTCATCTCGGCCTCTCTTTCATCAATATACTCTTCCATGCGCTTTCTAATAGAATTCTGAAGTCGGAGAGTTCGACGGTACTCCTCCATAAGCCCTGCAAATCGAGCATCGAGGCTACCATGCGGTCTGTCAATATCGCTGATAGTGGTCGGAGGTGTATACAAAGGGAAATGACCAAAGCACATTGTAGTGACTGAATGGTGCAAACGTGGGCGAGGTCAAGGAGCTTGAGCTTGTCGGGCTCTGTCTGAAGTCGGCGTCTACCCGCCAACCAAAAATGGCAATCAATCAACATCGGCAGAATCCGTTGTTTGCAATGCAATAAATTCCGCCACCGAAAGAACAACAATGGAAGGGGAAAAGGAAAATGAAAGGTGTATTTCTTAGGATGTGTCATCTAGAACAACAAGCAAATTCGCGAGAAAATGGGTTCAAGTAGACAGTACATTCATCTCTTCTAGAGGTTACTCTTAGGAATATTCGGCAAAAATTTGGTGATAAAGAGGCTTTGGAATTGCAGTTCTCGTATCTGAATGCGACGTTGAGGCCCTGTCATCGCCACGACTCAAGGCGAGTGCTTTCCCCTATAGTGCAAAGTAAGCTATCTTGGTAGTTTTGATCGATAAATTTGATGAAAAACGTCTATGCGGGTTAGGAGAAAAGAATACGTACTTTGACTTTTTCTTTTTGCCGAGACCTTGAGTCTGTATGTGTCGTTAGTTCTAACTTCTGTGATATTGCACTAACATACCGTGACTTTTCCTTCTCGTTCTGGTTCGAATATCTCGATTGCTCCAACAGTATGATTGGTATCAGGAATCGCATCTGTGGAGGTTGGAGTTGAACCTTCTATGTCTTCGTTTCCTGGCTCTCCATTAGCATCCTGGCGAAGTCCAATGTCGGTTGACTCCTTTGGGGAACTAATGCCTTGAGCTTCCTTTGTCTCAACAGGCTTAGGAGCTGATCGACTAAACTCAAACACATCTTTGGTTTGTGGTGGCTTAGATGGGAGATTACCACCAAATTCAAACCCAGTTTCGGACGATTTGGGCGGGCGACTTACACCAGGTGCAAAGGCAGTTTCTGCTGGCTTCGGAGGAAGGCCGCTGCCAAATCTAAACCTAGTGTCTGAGGTTTTAGGAGGGAGATGTCCACCAAAACCAGAACTAGTCTCTGATGGCTTCGGTGGGAGGCTGCCACCCAACCCAAATCCAGTTTCAGACGGTTTGGGAGGGAGACCTCCACCAAAACCAAAACCAGTTTCTGATGGCTTGGAAGAAGGTTTCCCGCCAAAATCAAATTCGGTATCTGATGGTTTGGGAGGAAGACCTCCACCAAACCCAAAGCCAGTGTTCCTAGGTGCGGAGGCAGACCCACCAGACCCAAAACTAAACTCAGCACTAGCAGGTTTGGGAGCTGAACTACCCCAACCCAGGGTAGGTTTTGCTGGTTGGGGAGGAGGAGCTTGCGGTTCTGCCATTTCCTCCAACGAACTAACTGCCGCCGTAATTGACTTTCCCCATCCACCAAACCAACCGCCAGATTTGGCTGGTGCGGGGGTAGGTTTAAGAACGGGCTTTGGAGCAGCCTCCTGCTGTTGCTGCTGCTGCTGCCTTTGAGCTTGTCTGGCCCATGCATTACTATTATAGGAGGGAGGTGGGTCTCTGGAAATGTCTGCGCTATCCACCCGAACGGGAGCTCTGATTTGGTCAGCTCGCGAAGCTGATTGACCAGGAGGGATATAAACATCGCGATTTGCTGTAGCAGTGGGATCTGATCTGGTTTGCTGAATTGAAGAGGTGACTTGCTTAGGTACCGTCGGCGAATGAGCTGGCGAGTCATAAGGCTGAGCGTTCTGATGGGCTGGAGGAGACATAGAAAGCGTTGGTCGTGCTGGAGAACAGGGAGGAACATCACTAGGTACTGGCTGAGTACTCTGCGTGACCGGTGAGATGCAATTTACTTCGGCTGGGCAGGAAGGAGAAAGAGCACGAGTAGATCGTGCTGAAGATCGTGAAGGAAGGTCACCATCTGGCTCTAAATGAGCACTCGGGGTGGCTTTGGGTGCTTCATCTCTTCCACTTGAGTGGGTCCATGAAAGAGCACGGGTAGATCGTGTTGGAGACCGAGACTGACGCTCACCAGGCTCATTTTGAGGATCCAAAAGTCTCTTGTGTCCTTCCTCTCCTCTTACTGAGCGAGCAGGTGAGAGCTCACGAGCCTGTCGAGAAGGGTTACGTGTCGGAGAGAGACCACGTGCGGAGCGCGCAGGAGAGCGAGGAGTAAGGGAGATGTGATTGTTCTGAGTCAACGGAGAGGTATAATCACCGCCGTTAGAACCAAGGTACATATCGGTTTGTTCAATATAAGGTTTTGATGGTGAGGGGCTCCGAGCAGACCGCGTGGGACTACGAGGAGGAGAAATACTACGGGTAGACTTGGCAGGAGACTCGGTAGGACCAAGGCTACGTTTTTCTCCTTCAATGAGGTTTGTTTCTGCATGCTCCAACCTAGCCGTCAACGC